CACCGAGATCTTTCTGCTCATCCACACTACCAAGAATCTTACCATTAGCCCAGTACTCTGTATTCCTGTTACTCCTTCCAAAGTGAATCACCTCACACTTTTCCACATTAAACTCCATTTGCCACCTCTCAGCCCAGCTCTGCAGCTTATCTATGTCCCTCTGTAACCTGCAACATCCTTCCGCACTATCCACAAGTCCACCGACTTTGGTGTCATCCGCAAATTTACTAACCCATCCTTCTACGCCCTCATCCAGGTCATTTATAAAAATGACAAACAGCAGTGGCCCCAAAACAGATCCTTGAGGTACACCACTAGTAACTGAACTCCAGGATGAACATTTCCCATCAACCACCACCCTCTGTCTTCTTACAGCTCGCCAATTTCTGATCCAAACCGCTAAATCACCCTCAATCCCATGCCTCCGTATTTTCTGCAATAGCCTACCATGGGGAACCTTATCAAGTGCTTTACTGAAATCCAAATACACCACATCAACCACTTTACCCTCATCCACCTGTTTGGTCACCTTCTCGAAGAACTCAATAAGGTTTGTGAGGCACAACCTACCCTTCACAAAACCGTGTTGACTATCCCTAATCAAATTATTCCTTTCTAGATGATTATAAATCCTATCTCTTATAATCCTTTCCAACACTTTACCCACAACCGAAGTAAGGCTCACTGGTCTATAATTACCAGGGTTGTCTCTACTCCCCTTCTTGAACAAGGGGACAACATTTGCTAGTCTCCAGTCTTCTGGCACTATTCTTGAAGACAATGACGACATAAAGATCAAAGCCAAAGGCTCTGCAATCTCCTCTCTAGCTTCCCAGAGAATCCTAGGATAAATCCCATCCGGCCCAGGGGACTTATCTATTTTCACACCTTCCAGAATTGCTAACACCTCCTCCTTATGAACCTCAATCCCGTCTAGTCTAATAGCCTGTATCTCAGTATTCTCCTCGACTACATTGTCTTTTTCCTGTGTGAATACTGACGAAAAATATTCATTTAGCACCTCTCCTATCTCTTCGGACTCCACGCACAACTTCCCACTACTGCCCTTGACCGGCCCCAATCTTACTCTAGTCATTCTTTTATTTCTGACATAGCTATAGAAAGCTTTAGGGTTTTCCTTGATCCTACCTGCTAAAGACTTCTCATGTCCCCTCCTGGCTCTTCTTAGCTCTCTCTTTAGGTCCTTCCTGGCTAACTTGTAACTCTCAAGCGCCCTCACTGAGCCTTCACGCCTCATCTCTACATCAGCCTCCTTCTTCCTCTTGACAAGAGATTCAACTTCTTTAGTAAACCACAGTTCCCTCGCTCGACCACTTCCTCCCTGCCTGACAGGTACATACTTCTCAAGGACACGCAGTAGCTGTTCCTTGAACAAGCTCCACATTTCAATTGTGCCCAGCCCCTGCAGTTTCCTTCTCCATCCTATGCATCCTAAATCTTGCCTCATCACCTCATAGTTGCCTTTCCCCCAGCTATAACTCTTGCCCTGCTTTATATACCGATCCCTTTCCATCGCTAAAGTAAGCGTAACCGAATTGTGGTCACTATCACCAAAGTGGTCTCCTACCTCCAAATCTAACACCTGGCCTGGTTCATTACCCAGTACCAAATCCAATGTGGCCTCGCCTCTTGTTGGCCTATCTACACACTGTGTCAGGAAACCCTCCTGCACACATTGGACAAAAACTGACCCATCTGAAGTACTCAAATGATTGGACCCTTAGGGGCTTTGATATACAGAGGGATGTTGTGGTACAAGTCAATAGCTCCTTGACAGTGGCAACACAAGTGGATAAGGTGGTAAAGAAGGCATATGGCATGTTGCCTTCATTGTTCCGGGTATTAATTATAAAAGTTGGCAAGTCATGTTGTACTTTATAAGACTTTGGTCAGGCCACATTTGGAGTACTTTGCACAGTTCTGGTTACCACAATATAGGAAGGACGTGGACGCTTTGGAGAGTGTACAGAAGAGGTTTACCAGGATTGGAGTTTATTAGCTACAAGGAGGTTGCCCAAACTTGGATTGTTTCCGCTGGAACCTCAGAGGCAACCTGATAGAAATATATAAAATTATGAGCGGTGTGGAAAGAGAGAATTGTTGGAATCTCCTTTCCTGCATGGAAATGTCAAATACAAGGGGACATAAGTTGAAGGTGAGAGGGGTAAAGTTTAAGGGAGATATTAAGGAAAGGTATTTACACAGATGGCAGATGGTGGTAGGTACCTACTACATGCTGCCAGGGGATGTGGTAGAAGCAGATATGAAAGCAAAGCTTAAGAGGCATTTAGACAGACACCTGAACAGGCAGAGAATAGAGGGATATGAACCATGTGTAGGCAGATGGGAAATTAGTTTAGAATAGCATCTTGGTTGGCATGGACATGGCTGGCCAAAGGGCCTGTTCTTGTGCTATACTGTACTGTTCAATTAATCTGGTAAATCCTCCTTGACTGGATTCCAATTTAAGTATATCCTTCAACAGTTCAAATGCATGTCTAATTATACAATCGAACTATTTTAAATGTAATGACGGTTTCTGCCTTTACCACTCACACTCCACATTTGCACCTTGTAGATGGTGGACAGGCTTTGGGGAATCAGGAGGTGAATCCTGCAATATTCCTAGTCACTGCCTGTTGTTTTAGCCACTGCATTTATCATTATTTTAATTAATCTGATTTGACATGTTAGAATTGGAATTAGGTTTACTGTAACATGTACTCAAGTTGAAGGATGCATGAGTATGTATGAACAGAGGTATAGAAAAGACTTATGGCCAATAAGAAGTGGGTCCAAATAAGGATTAGGAATTGATGCAGAGATAGTAAGAACTGCAAAAGTGAGAAGTGTACAAATTTGCCATTTCCAGTCCATCTTAGGTACAAAGATACCTAGGTATAAAATCTTAGGTATAAACTAGAAAAATAAAGAAACAAAGTTCAGCAATACAGTTTTTCTAAAGGAGGGAGTCCATGCTGGGCTTCAGCTCAAGGCCGGGAGTCCGATGCTGGGCTTCCGCGAGGCCGAGAGTCTCCTGAGTCCATGCTGGCTGAATTCTCCACCACCGATGCCATCCGAAAAATGGAGGTAAATACAGACAAAAGGAAAAAGAAGAAAAGCAACAGACTTAGGAGCCTATTCCATCGCCATCTTGAAGGCACTGGTAATAGGGGTGAAAGAGAAGTAGAGTTGTGAAATGGGTGTAAATTGAAGTGTTCAGGTCTTTACAGCAAGCTAAGATGCATTAAGGAGAGGTGATGGCCGAGTGGTATTATTGCTAAATAATCAATCCGGATAACTAGGTCATGTTCTGGGGACTTGGGCTTGAAACTTGCCGTGGTAGACGGTGGAAATTGAATACAGAACTAAAAATCTAATGATCTTGATTGTCACAAAAAAATGCTCATCTGGTTCACTAATGTCCCTTAGGGGAGGAAATCTCCCATCCTTTCTTGGTCTGGCCTGCATGACTCCAGACCCACAGCAATTTGGGTAAGTATGGGCACTGAAAGCTGGCCTAGCCAGCGATGTCCACATCCTATGAATAAATTTTAGAAAAAACTCAGTGAGGAGAGGGACGGAACATGATTTGTTTGACCTCTTATTTGTTGGTGGAGCAGACTTGACAGGCTGAATAGCATTCTCTGCTCCTATAGCAAAGGCAATGGCCCATCAGTTTTACCATTTCAATTAAAAGCTGGAACTAAAAGACTAATGATGACCATGAAACCACTGTCAAAAAAAATCTATTTGGTTCACTAATGCCCTTTTAGCGAAGGAAATCTGCCATCCTTACCCGGTTTGGCCTATATGTGACTCCAGGCCCATAGCAATGTGGTTGATTCTTAACTGTTCTCTGGGCTAGAACAGCTGGGGGTCGTCAATAAATGCTGACCCACCTAGAGATGCATTCATCCCGTGTATGAAGTTTAAGAAAAAGGCAATGTTTTCCTGGGGAAGGGAGTGCTCAATTCAAGGTGCAAGCATGGTTTCTATAGTCTCTCTTGGTGAAAGGAATGTTCAGTTCAAGAGATTTATTGATCCATTTGATTTATTGTCATGTGTATTTTGTTACAAAACACAGTGAAAAGTGTTGTATAGCGTCACCACTCTCCGGCACCATCTTAAAACGCAGAAAGATAAATCATAATGTGGAATATAAAGGTGGAAAAATGAAGAAATGAAGTTCAACTTTGTAGTCCGTCTTGTTAAGTGCTTAGCCATGGGCACGTCCCCTCGCCGTGCCGCCAGAACAAGAATCGCCACTCTCCGATGTCATCTTGCCTCCACTAACACTGCTGCCACAATGAGTCCTCACCATGTCCCACACCAGGCCAAACTCAACTCCGCCGCTGCCAAGAGCCTGCTCTGGGCCCAGATCTGCCTCCGCCACTGCCTCCACGAGTCTGTGCTGGACGCAGATGCCATGGGCAACCCAAATTTCACCTCCACCCATGGTTTAGGTGGCATGGTGGCTCAGTGGTTAGCGCTGCTGCCTCACAACTCCAGGGACATGGGTTCGATCCCAGCTTTGGGGGCCCTGTGGGGTTTGCATGTTCTCCCCATGTCTGTGTGGGTTTCCTTCAGGTGCTCCGAGTGTCTCACACAGTCCAAAGATGGGTAGGTTAGGTGGATTGGCCATGCTAAAATTGCCCACGGTGTCTAGGGTTGCGCGGTCTAGGTGGGCCAGCCATGGGAAATGTAGCGATAGAGAAGGCTGAATCTGGTGGGTGGGGGATATGGGATGCTCTTCGATGGACCCAAAGGCCTACTTTCCGCAACCGGGGGGGACGCGGGGATTCGATGGTGGTTTGTGTTGTGGAAATCTCGGGTTAAATATGGCGGCGGGAGGAGAGCGGGAACGGAAAAACTACAACTCCCAGCACGCCCGCCGGAGGTAGCAGGGACCCGGATGTGTCCGTGGGTACTCTCGCGAGATGAGGGCGGTTGGGGGGGGGTTTTTTGGGGGGGGGGGGGAGGAAAACAGGCGCTGACGCAGCGCCTCATTTGCCGGACCCTCCCTATAGCGGCAATTGAAGCTCCATTCGGCAGTATATAAGCGCTCGCTGGAAGAGGACGGACGGCTTTCCCAAGCCCGCTTCAGGCAGCACCGCCAAAAAAAAAAAACAATTTTAATCGCTTTTATTTTTGTTTTAAAAAAAAAAATCTTTTTCTTGACCAAAAAACAAACCACCTCATCTGGATATTTCATTTAAATTCTCCTCCGTATCCACATGGCGAGTTCGGCCAACTCAAACCCGGTGGTAAGATTTTTTTGTGTGTTGAGTGTGGTTGTTTTTTTTAAATCCTCCGAAATAAAAGAGACTTTAAGATGGGAACCATTTTATATATTTTAAAGTATATCTATACTTTTCATTAAAATCTGCTTTTGCCACTCCCGAGGATGAAAACAATTTTTTTCTACTTTTTATTTAAGAAAAACAAAACGTGAAAAGTAATGTTTTGTTTTTGTTTTGCTCTGTCCTCCGGGAAATTGAAACAAAATTCAGCAAAGCGGAAAACTTGTTGGCCTTTGAAAAGGGGGGGGGGGAAGGAACAAAAAAAAATCTTCCTCCTTTTTTTAAAAAAAAAAGCAAGATTTGACTCCCTTCCTCTCTAGTTTTTTTTTAAATAACTGGAGCAAAGCAAGCCATATCTTAGACAAACTGAGGGGATTTTTGTGTTAGGAGCTGTGGCTGGAGTTTTAGTTTCTACAAGCAGATTTTAGGAGGGGGTGGGGAGGGGGAAACACTTCCCTTCTATCTATCTCTCTCTAGACAATTTTCTTTTGTCTGGACTAGTAATTACATTTTTAAGTTGAGGTGCTTTCTAAAGTGGCTTGGGAAAGAAATGGAGTGGGGGAGAAAGTAGTGGGTGGTGGGTGAATGGTTCAATTTTTGGGTTGTACATCCAAAAGGAATGGTAATTTTAATAAAAAGCTAAATTCATGAGGTGGTTTCACCTGAAAAATCACAATTCAGGAGCTGCTTTTGCTATGTGTGTGTGTCAAGTTTGAAACCAAGAAAAGTGCTAAGGTTTTCTTTTTTGGTAAGATCTCAGGATATTACAAACTCACCTCTGATTTCAAGTTTAGTTTTATAAACTTTTATTTTTGAAGGTAAATATATAGTCTTTTTGTTTAAAAGAAACGTGGAATAAAACTGAAACACCAACACACCCCTACCGATCCCCTAGTGAAACACAGATGGAGCCTGCACTATTTGCTGATGAACCATTTTGTTTCCTGGATGACTTTTTTCAAATTTTTGTGTTGCTGGTCTGAAGGAGGCATGAGATGCTTTCCTTCCCCTTTTCAGGGCCCCTAAGACTTTGGTTTTAGTCCTGTCCCCCCTCCTTTTGTGGCCAATCTGGTGAATCGGTCTCTCTGCAATCCCTTGTCTCTGCTCAATAAGCTAATGTTTTGTGGTGGAGGGTGGCCTGCTGTTTGTGCCTTCCTTCCCCTCGCTCCTGTCTTTCCTCCCCCTCCTAGATGGCCTCCTCTATTATAATCTCGGTTGCATGGTGGGGATGTGCTTGCCAGCTCTACGTCATGAGGAGAGGGGGACACTTTGCATATAAGAGATCAGACTAGTGAGGGCTGTGCAAGCAAGCAGGGAGAGAGGGAGGCTTAACGGCAGCTGCAAGGCCCAAGGGTAAACAGCCTGCTTAAGTACGTTCCCTTGATCTGTTTAGGCTGTGACTTGTCTACCTTCTTTCTGACAAACCTTCTGCCTTCCGCGCTTATCCCCGGTCCCCTCACTGTTTTTCTGTTCTGTCAGAGGCTGTGAGCTCCCACAGGCTTGACTATGCTCTAGTCTTCTGCCTGAGAATGTGAATTCAAACTGCAAACAGCATCTTTTTCAGATCAGGGTATTTTTCTTTGCATTTGTAATTCAACCAAGACACGTGTAACTATTTTCTTAAAACCACAATATTACTGATACTGAAAATCTGAAGCAAATGCATTTGCCAATTCAATTTTTTTATTCCATTGGAATATTGACAACTATTTATCAGAATGACCCTTTCCCTAAAAGTAGGTGAATATTTGTAACAGTGGTGGCTGCAGTTGAATTTGCATAGCACATGGTGGGAGGTAAGGACAGCCCAGTGAGATGAATTGGATAGCTCCTCTTCAAAGCACTAGTATAGGAAAAATGGACCAAATGGCAGTTCTCATTATTTGATTTAAATGTTACTGGTACATGATGAAATTCCAGTTAGATAATATTTAGAGCTCTGCCTTGGTGAGAATCATCATCTTATTTACACATCTGTGTAGCATTAAGCAAAAAATAGTTCTTTTGCTTGTTTTCATCTGAATGGTTAGACTCTTAGTGTTATTGTTATTTCAAAATGTCATCTTTACATTGCTTTAAATTCTTGGCATTTTCAGAAGTCTTGTAATTAAAACAGTTCTTATTATTTAAGCAGGGAAATGTTAACTTCCAAATACAAGTGTCAGAGCTGTAAGGAGGAATAGAAGTAGATCGGTGTCTTGGCCTATTTCTACTGTTTAATTAGGCTATGCTGGTTTGCACACTGAGTGGAGGCAATCTTTACTCTTTGACATCCTTGCTGGGCAAAATTTTAAATTGACCCAGCATTCCTGACACTTTGGAGATTAGATTTCCAGTACCCTTTATGTGGAAAATGTGCTTTCTGATGTTTGCTCTGACTGACATAGCTCTCATTTTAAGATTATGGACTTTCCGAGCAAACAAAATGGCTTCTCTCTCTATGCTGTTGATTGCCTCAGTTATTTGAAATGTCTTGATTAGCAGTTCATAACCATCTAAACATGAGACTACGAGCCAATGTTGTGAAACTTGTCATGATGAATCTGGGTGTAGTAGGTTACGTTGTACCCTTCCGCAGCAAATTTGAGTTTTGGGGTCTATAATTGCATATGCTACTCCAGATAAGAACTGATCAAACTCTGTAGAACAGAAGCACTGCTTCCTTACTTTTGAATTCCACTTGCTGTTGGATAAAGGCCAACATTTGCTAACTAAGTTAGCAAGAACTGCAGATGCTGGAGGAACACAGCAGGCCAGGCAGCATCGTAGGATGAGGAAAGCTGATGTTTCTGGTTGGGACCCTTCAGAAATGGGGAGGGGAGCTCAGAAATAAATAGAGGAGGGGTGGGGCTGGGAGAAGTAGGTGGGATGGTGGTAGGTGAATGCATGTAGGCAGTGGTTGGGATTGGTCAGAGGTAAGAGTGGTGGACAGGTGGGAGAGATGGGCAGGTTGTATCAGGTCAGAGGCAGGGATGAGGCCACTGGAGCTGCATGTACAAACAACGACACCCACTCCCCAGGTGACATGTCCATCCTGGGCCTCCGCCAGTGTCACAATGACACCATCCACAAACAGGAGGAGCAGCGCCTCATATTCTGCTTCGGGATTCTACAGGCCGATGGCTTGAATGCGGACTTTACCAGTTTCAAAATCTCCCCACCCCAGCCTTATCCCATAACCAACCCTCCATTCATCCCTGCCTCCTTGACCTGACAACCTGTTCATCTTCTCTCCCACTTATCCACCACTCCTACCTCTCTGACAAATCCCAACCACTGCCTACATGCACTCACCTACCTTCCCCAGCCCCACCCCATCTCTCTATTTGAGTTCCTATCCCCCTCACCCTTTCTGAAGAAGGGTCCGACCAGAAACGTCAGCTTTCCTGCGCCTCTGCTGCCTGGCCTGCTGTGTTCCTCCACTCTACACTTATCTCCCACATTTAATCAGCCTTGTTGTACTTATCTCTAGACCTGACTCTTGCAACATACACCTGGGTGTCTCACACTCTACACCATCTAACACCCAGCTAATTGTGTCCTAAATTTTGTCAAGTCATCATCTGTGATTGCTGACTTGCGTTAGATCCCACTCAAAAGTCTAGAATCTTCTCCACTGCCAAAACTTGTTAGACACTTAAACTCTTCCAAATCTGGCCTCTTGTTTGTGCATTTCCAATTATAATTGCTCCACCATTTGTGATTTTACTCTCTCTGCCCCAGGATCCGTAATTGTCTCCCTGTCTCTGTTCCCAAGACATTCCTTAAGATGTATCTCTTACTAGATTTTTGTCATCAGACCTAAAATGGTGTGGTATGGTTTGTTTCGTAATGCTCCTGTGAGGTACCTTGGAACATTGCAACCATTTTAAAGAAGCTGTATAAATTGGAGCAAAAACAAAGTTGCTGGAAAAGCTCAGCAGGTCTGGCAGCATCTGTGAAGGGAAAAAAAACAGTTAACATTTCGGGTCCGGTGACCCTTCCTGTATAAATTGGAGGTCTTATTATGCCCTAGTTTGTTTTCTGGACACAAACTCCTTGCTTCTAAACAATATTTAATTTCTTGTCACTAACAAAACATTTTGATTTGTTTTTCTGTGAAGTGGATGCACTTGCACTTCAAAATTGGAAGTGTTACAGTGCAAAGGAGGCCATTGGGCCCAGAGTGCCTACACGACTTAAGTTGGCACGAGGCAACAGTGCTCACCTCCTGTTTTATCTGCATCCTTGCATGTTCTTTCTATCAAATAAACATCCAAAGCTTTCCTAAATGCATCAATTTAACCACTCTCCTCTGTGTTTCTACATAGTGCCTTCCATACCCTAACTACTTGCTGAGTGGAAAAAGTTTTTTTTTCTTCACTTCACAATTGCTCTTTTGCAGATTGTTAAATCTATACCCTCTTGTTCTGTTCCTTTCACGAGTGAGAGCAGTTTCTCCCTATCTATTTTAGTGTACTGAAGATTTTGAAAACCACCAAATGTCCCCTTAGCTGCCTTCTCTCCAGTTTTCTCCAATATTCTCATGACTGAAGTACCTAATCCTTGGAACCATTTTTGTAAACCATTTCTGTGCACTCCAATTTGTTCACCACCTTCTTATAAAGTGACATCCACAATACTGTGTGTCTTACACAAGCTGTGGAGGTGCCAGTGTCGGACTGGGACGGACAAGGTCAAAAATCACATGACACTAGGTTACAGTCTCACAGGCTGTCAGGTGCAGTGAGAGGAGAGCACACAGCTTGTTGGCAGAAAGACAAAGGATCACATCTGGTGTGAGTAGAGTGAGCAAACCTACAATGGCTGACTACCTCCTGTTGAATCTTTAATCCTTCATACATTCCTGCATTCTGGAAATTGCAGAAGCAGGGTATGGAAAACTCTGTTAGCTCCAATTGATTAAGATGCAATTTTCCAGAATCTGTTTCAAGTCACTGTCCTGAGATAATTGAAGGTTTCAT